TCCTTTTCTGGGTCTCTATTCTTGAAATTTTTGAACTTTGTACTTTAGAATTGGTCTTTCATGTTTGTTTTTTGAATTTAAATTTGAAGCTCACTTCCATAATTGATTTTCGATTCAATTTGCACTTCTGGTCCTCCGTTTTATTTTACAATTCATCTCCCTGTCCTTTTTCTTTTTTGTATTAGCATAGTTAATTTTCTTTAGTCAAAGTAAAATCCATTCAATTACTATAATTTGGTGAGGGCATGGTAGTAATGGGGTTATTTTCATTGCGTCACTCACAAATTTTATCCATAAACATTTGGGGGAAAAAAATTATATACGAATGGATTACAACCCAAGAATGAAAATTCTCCAATGGTTCAAGTTGGTTCAGCTGGAAATTGCTTTGATGGGTTACAAATGTGGATTGGTAATAGGCTTATCTATGGGATATATTGTAGGGGTGAGCATGGGTAATGGGTAGAACTAGAACTAGAGTCGGCTCAATGGGGTGTGTTTTGTAATTTTTATATCAAATATTATTTGACATATAAGGAATTGCAATCGCAAATTGGGGAAAAAAAAAGGGGGAAAAAAAGTCAAACTCATGTCTCCACCCACTATCCAGTATACGATTTGTTCTCAGTTCATGTCATCGACCTTCCATCGCTATCCAATCGACCATCCGATTGGTCAATAACTTTATTCAATGATTTTACTTTTTAAGCTACTAATTGACTTTCTTGTGTTATTTTGTAGAAATGATTGGACTTGACGAAGGAATATTCACAGCAAATTTGGAGCATGAGACATGATGTTTTAATGATTTCATTTCACTATTTTGTTATTATGTACATTATGTCATTTGAAATGATGAATGCTATTTATGATTTTCAGATTGGGAACAGTTGTTGTACAAGATGTCATTTTTTTAAGCAAATTGCAGGGTGTATCTGTGAATTTTGTGAACTACCAGGGGTGTACTGTAATTTTTTCAGGGTATATTTGTCATTTTCAAAATAATAAGGGTAATTTAATTCTCTATGTATCGAGGACCGGAACGGAATCTGCATTTCAGGTTCCAATTCCAGGAGCCGACCAGTTTTGATTTCAATTCCTATTCCTAGCAATTTCGGCAGGTACTTGGAACCGCTCACCCCTAATTTTTTTATATTATATTCGCAACAGGAAAACTCCTATGGTTTGTAAGGATGGTTGAAAGAGTAAGATTTAGAAACATGAGAAGAGTGAACAGAAATCATCCAAGAAGAAGACATTAGAGAGTTAAAGCTAGTGCTGCTCTCTATAAGGTGAGTCGTCCAACTTTTATAGAATATATATGTAGCTTTGTCTTAATTTAAAAGCATAAGAATTTAAAGTATAGTTTCCAGCATGTTTTCAACATTCTCTTTCTTTTCAAAGCAAGGAGGATAGCCGATTGTGTCTACATGTCTAGTTATCATCTTCAAGCCATCGATTTTCTCTACTCTCTGGATAAGTAATTCGTATGTTATTTTTGGGTTGTGAAGTAATTCAAGTAGATGGTAAGCTAATATACTTTTCACGCGCTTTATATAATATGGTTCTGTTGGAGTTACTGAGTGTTCTGCTTTTTATAAATGAATCACTAATAATAATAATAATAATAATAATAAAATCTCTCTGTTAAAATTTATTTTTCGGTTATTTTGGGTTGTGAAATTAGATATGAAGTAGATGACAAGCTAATAGTCTTTTGCTCTATAAAATGGCATTGCTGAAATTACTAGTCCTATTGATGAAGGCAAATGAGAATGCTGAACCGAAGATGCCAAGGAAAAGAAAATTAGGTGTGCTCCACTTTAATTTCCTGTAAGTCAGCTATGCCATTTTTTTACAATTGTTTGTCCTGGAATGGTAATTATATTTACATCTTGAAAAGTCTATTGATTACAAATTGTTTAGACTACATCATTATCCAAGTTAATTTCAAGTTCTTTTTTAGTTGAATATAAGGTTTTTCATGCTCACTAGTGTTGCAGTACTACTTCTCTTTACTCCTTTCAACAGGTTTGCAGATACAACACAGAGAGTTTCAGCAGGTCTCCACATTCTTTTGGGATATTGTGTTTCGTTTTCCTATTTGTTCATATGTCAAATTATATATCTTTAAGAAAAACTATTTAATAAAGAATACAAATGTGAATAGGAATAGGAATATAATTATGAGATTCTTATTCGGAATTGAAATATGAATTCCATTAGAAATAAAATGTCTCATATACTACCTATAAATCTAGGGGTAAGAACCAATTCAAGGTTATAAGAGAATGTAAGAACACAAGACATTTGATGTACGAGTTATTAAACGTCATGGGTAGAGTCTCTTAGAAACTATGATGGTTTTTGCTCTAAGTATTGGGTTGAGCATGGTTAGAAAGTGTATTCTTATATATCATGTTCATGAAACTATAGTGGAATTCTCTCATCCGTGGATGTAGGCAATGTATGCCGAACCACATAAATATCGTGTCTCTTTGTGTGGTGTGATTTTATTCCTATATTATTAATCTCGAATGTATGTTTTTTGTTGTGCGATTTCCTAACACATTCATCATGTTTTGAAACTTATAGTTGGACTCCTTTGGTGACATTTAGAACCACCAAGTTGGAAACACAATTTGTGCTTAATTCTCTTAAACAATTTCTAAGATTTTCAAGCTAAAATTGTGGCTGCATGGTCTTAATCCGCAATTTTTGAAATGCAATGACCTCCAAAACTTTGTAAATATGAGCACCAATTGCAAGAGAAACATAAGTGTGTTACCACTAAATTGTTGAAACCGAAAACCAAACAGGTCACAAGTAAAGTATAATATAAAAGACAAAACACACGATTTACCCTGGTTCGTTCTGATTAAGGAACTACGTCTAGCATTCAAACAAATAATTCTTTACATGATTACAATAACAGTTCACTAACAGCTCACTGTAACTATCTATCTCACATTAGGCTACTCACTATTATAAAATAATCATAATAGTAAACCTTAACCCATTTGGGTTAACCCAAATTTAACCCGACCTAGACCCAAATATTAATAAACTAATTTTAGTCGATGAATTATAATGAAGAAACTTGAATAAAACCCTTCTCTTCAGTACCAATCAAACTACTGAAAAAGAACACTAGAACTGGGTGGTGAAAAGAATGAAGTTTTTATTCAAATTTAGAGAAATTTAAGTTTGATGAACTGGGTTTTGGTGTTTGGTTGCAAAAGAGTTTTTTTGCTGTGGAAAGTGCAGTAAATTAAAGCAGGGTATGGAGTTATGGACAGAGCATATTGTTGTTGAAGAATATTCTGTAGGACTTTCCGCTAGATGTACAATGGCCGTACAATCAATTTCGCAATAAATTCACCTTGTACATTTACCAGGTAAAGCTTATATTTTGATGGTACAGTAGGAAGCTTTTACGTTTAAATAACGACAATAAACATCTTTTTTGTTTCTCTTTTACTCGCTAAACGATGATGGCGGGACATTTTGGACGGCTTACCGCAACATCCACTTCCAGGGTAGAAGATGGGTCTCTTCTGCTCTGTTCTTGAGGATAAGACTTTCGCTTCATAATTTGCAACAGCGTAGGCTTGAAACAGTTTCTCATTTCTCCAATATAAAACTCAAACTCTATTCTTCTAATTTATTTTAAACCCAAGAAATGGCTCAAGGAGTTGCTAATTCTTCTTAGTTACTGCTAAATTGTCATCTTTAAGCAGTTTTGAGAAAGTAAAATTCAATCTTCCTCAATGCTCCTTCGAAGAAATGGTTGGTGTTTCTATTGGTAGGGATAAATCTTGGCCCCATGAGCCGTCACCACCGTTTCAAAAAAACACAGTGACGTCTAGAGTTGGCGATGGATTGTGCTGACTCACGTGTCAACACAGCCCACCTTAAAAAAAGCCCAGCACAGCACAGCACGAAAATTTCCATGTCGTGCCAAAGGCTTACAAATATTCAAAAGAATTAATAAAAATAAAGAGGTGTGAAAATTAATGGAAGTGTTAAACTAGGCCCATGGCACAATACGCTATATAACGGGCCATGTTGTAGGCCTTCAAATTTGGCAGGCAACATAACATGACAAGGCATGAATTTCTATAGGTTTTAGCACGAAACAGCCCCCAACATGACAGGCCTTAAATTTTTAGGCACGGTACAATGACAATGACATCAATATCCTCATTAGCTAATGGTAACGTCAATATCCTCATTAACTAACGATGACGTCAATGTCTTCGTTAACTAACATTGCAGTTGACCTTGCAGTTAACTAAGGATGACGCCCATGTGTTGTTACCTAACAATGATGTCTATATGTCGTTAACTAACAGTAACATTAATATGAATTGAGTAATACTACACTAACAACATTTTCTTACAAACTTTCTCTCACAACCTTGACGTGACAGTTTGTAATTAATTAACTTGTAATTAATTAATGAGACCCATGTGGGAACCGTTATGAATTGACCAATTACAAGCTACCACGTTAGGGTTATGAGAGAAAGTTTGTGAGAAATGCTTATTGGTATAGTATTATTCATATGAATATTGTGTAATTCTGACTATTGTTGAGAATTTCCGTCATCGTCATCGTTATCTCGCAGTGAACGTCAGCATCGCCGTTTACTTGTTTAGACTATCTTTTGTCGAACACAATCTCTTCTTCTCCAGTCAGATCTATAGAAGAAAGAAAAACCAGAGTTAGGTTTTCCGAATGTTTTAAGATTATATTAGAAAGAAGAAAAAAAAATCTTACAGATTTCGAATTTTCAAGAATCAAGCACCACTATTTAAGTATCGCGAAACAATGCCCAATCAACGTCGTCTTTCTTAGCCAAGCGAAGCCACTCTCTGTCTCCACTGTACAACTTTTACAATTAACCCTAAATTTCACTCGCCATCAAATTTCTTAGTGTTTACATACCAAACAACCAAAATTCAGCTGTTCGAGTCTCCATATTTTCTCGACACGCATGTACGTAAGCACCTTTATACCTAAAGAAGCTATTGAAGTCATTTCTCAGAGTATTGGAATTGCCAATTTTTCTCCCGATGTTGCCCTCGTTTTCGCTCCCGACGTTGAGTATCGCATGCGCGAAATTATGCAGGTCAATATAATTTTTTATTTTTTTTATTTTGGTGGTTACTGATTTTTTGAGCTCTGGAGTTTAAAACATTGTTAATTGATAGTGAACCTTGATGCTTTGAACTTGTAGGAGGCGGTTAAATGTATGCGGCACGCACGTAGAACAGTTTTGAGAGCTGAGGATGTTGATCGTGCACTTAAGTTAAGAAATGTGGAGGTAAATAATTTGTATTTTTGGCTTTTGTTTTTTTTAATTAATTGTTGTGGGTTTTGGAGTATAGTTTCAAAAGTAATGTGAAAATTTGATGTTTAGTTGTGGATTTGGTTATTGGAGTGGTGAAATAATTTGTTTTATGCTTTTTGATTTGCAATTGAGTTTGGAAGTTTAATTTTGGAACTTACGCGAAATCTTTAGTTTTGCTTGCGGATTTGGTTGTTCATTTTTACTTTTTTACTCTTGCCAGGCAATAAATGGATTTGGTTCGAGTGATTCTTTGCGATTCAAAAGGGCGGATGGGCTTAAGGATTTGTACTATATTGATGACAAGGATGTGGATTTTAAGGATGTACGGGAATGAAAATGTGGTTTTAAATTGTGTGATAAATGGCTTTTTGTTGCTTGCTATTCTCTTATTTTGCATGTTGGAATGGATGCAGGTGTTGGCAGCACCTTTACCAAAGGCACCTATTGAAACATCTGTTACTACTCACTGGCTAGCAATTGAAGGTGTTCAGCTTGCTATTCCAGAAAATGCTCCAGTTGAAGGTATTGTTTTGACCTCTGTTGGAATACTAGTTAATAGAATGGGAAACTGGGAGACTGGTTTCTAAAAGTATGTATATATGGAAGAACTTTGGGTGGCCAAAATTACTTTGGAGTAAGCATTATGGATGCTATCATTTAGAGTGTTTTTCATTGGTTAGATTTCTATAGGTAGTTTGCTTCTGAGCCTTAGTATTTTTCTGTTTTATGGCCAAGTGGACTGCTCCATGTTTTGATCTAGTGATTCTTAGGTTTATGGACTATTGCAATATCTATGGCCTCTTAAGTCTTAACTTTTTGATGATTTTGCTATCATGGGCATTTTAGATTGTATTATACTTTTTTTGCAGCCCCTGCAGCAGTCTCTGATGGCAAAAGATCTGATTACAGGGAAGATGGGCTTTCCGCTGACATTAAACGACCTGCTAAGCATGTACTTTCTAGGGAGCTTCAGGTATATTGTATATCCTGTGCCATATGATTTTAACAAAATGTAAAAAATAATGAACTTTTTTATGACAGAAGCTTTCTGTAATCTCCTTTGCAGTTTTACTTTGACAAAATAAAACAGCTTGCAGTGAATAGATCTAACTGTATCCTCTTTAGACAATCATTAACAAGCCTGGCAACAAGCTCAGCAATACAGCCGTTGGTTCCTTTTTTTACATACTTCATTGCTGATGAGGTAGTCTCAAGGATCTTCAGCTTTGTCTTTTCAGAACATATATCAGAGAATTGAAGCTTTTCTGTCGGATAATTATCTTGTGTTTTTTTTCGCTGTATTACATCCTTTAATAAAATGTCAAGTGTCCACTTTGTTGTATCATAACTTCAAAATATTTGCTAATCTCATACAATCAATTAGTCAATTGGGGAAATCAAAATGGTTTAGATGGTAACAATCAATTTATTTTCAACTCACTTACCTTCAAAATTTACATAAACAGTTGCAGTCTCAGGAAAAACACTATGGATTTTTCTAACACAAGTAATCATAACTGTTAACTAAAAGTAATTGTTATCGTTCACTAACAGCAAAAGTTACCATTAACTAACCGTTAACTAACGGTGGAACTCATAATCAACTAATGACAACCGTTACCTTAACGTCAAGCGTTTAATGTCGTGTCATGGTTAATGAACGGCAACTTTTCTGTTACTAACATTTGACGTTAACATTACCTAACTTTGAACCGTTACTCGAGACTGTTAAAAGTTAACGAATAGTCATTATTACAGTTAGGGGTGTATACGAGCCGAGCCGAGCCGAGTATCTCGGTACTCGAGCTCGGCTCGTGATGAACAGTACCGAGCTCGAGCTCAACCGAGCTTCAGAACTCGAGCTCGAGCTCGAGCTCGAGAGTGGGAATGAGTACTCGAGCTCGAGCTCGAGCTCGATCGAGCTTCGTAAATCGAGCTCGATCGAGCTCGAGCCTTATCGAGCTCAAACGAGCTCGAGACAGACTGCTGCTATAATTTTAAATCTTGAGACAGACTGCAATTGTAATTTGAAATCTTCCTGCAGTTGACACCGGCGAACTTGTCCACGACGACGGCGTGACTCGTGAGTGACTGATTTACCGCGAATGGCAGTGGAGATTTAGGACTTAGGGTTGATGAAAAATCGTGACTGTGTTTTACTTTTTCAGTTTTTGTTTCAGCTTTGATTGAAAAATTGCAAATGGGTTTTACTTCTGCGTTTTTGTCTATATGGGAGCTATTTGCAATTTTAACAACTTAAAAATTAAAAAAGTTTTAAAATCTTGCAAATTACCCCCTGAGCTCGTTTAAGCTCGTGAATAGTGACGAGCCGAGCTCGGCCCGAATCGAACTCGGCTCGTCACTATTCACGAGCTGCTCGAGCTCGAGCTCGACTCGCCTGATTTCGAGCCGCGCTCGAGCTCGACTCGAGCCGAGCTCGAGTAGCTCGCGAGCAGCTCGGCTCGCGGCTCATCCCTAATTACAGTTCACTAACAGTTAATTTGAGGGTCACTNTCCTGGTTTGTTATTTATGAAAATGTACCTGTGGCCTGTAACTTTTCCAAGAAGCTACTGTTTCTAAACTCGGATTATGTTTACTAAATCACTTATGAAAGGTAACTACCAGTGTTTTAATAACCAACCCAGGTGGAACCTAGCAAAGTGGTCAGGTTCTAGGTTGACTGTTTTGATTAGCGGGTCAAATCAGTGTCCAAAAGTTTGAAATATAACAAAAACACTCTTAAAAATCACATATAAATCTCTACAGCTTTGAAATCGTGCAAAAACACCCCGAAAAACCAAGACAAATATGGTATATTTCTGACAACAAAAATACGCCTCATTACCACGAAAACACTCTCCTCAACCTCTTGACCAAAACCCATATCACCCCTCCCCCGATTGCCTTAGGTTGTTGCCATCGATTTTATTTTGCGATTTTCCATCGATTCATTCATCGAAAATCACCTTCATCACCATCATTGCACTCAATGACTCTTTTTCTTCAAAAACCCTAACATCCTAACCTTCAATTATTCACCGATTACCATCCCAATTTATAGGGTTTTTGGTAAATAAGAAAATTGTTAACCCGACCGAGTAAAGGCTTCAAGTCCCGGTTGAACCAACTAGGTCAAGCTGGGTTTTAAAACAATGGTAATTACAACCTTTAAGTCAGCTGTTTAAACTTCCAGTTTGCGCTAGGAAATCAACCATTTCCATTTAACTTAATGGAGATCATTAATCATGTTATTAATCTAAATCAATCAAATCATCGCATTACAAATAGACAAATAGCAAACATAATATAGACGCAAAGGAAACCTAAAAGGAAATGATACCAGATACACTTGAGCTTCCAACATCTTTACATAGCTGTGGCATAAAAAGAGAAAACAAAAACAAAAACTAGAAAAGCTCAAAAGAATTAAAAGAAGAGCTTTCGTGACGGTCTGGAGTTAACAGGTGAAGGTGAGGTTGGAGACCTGGGGAGGGGGGGTATTCCCTTGCTCTCTTGGCCGCCTGCTACTTTGTCAACCAGCTTTGCTGCCTTAGGGTCAGTTAGAAGCGTCTTCTGAAACGATTGGGAGAAGCCGGTTGCAATAATAGTTACATGTATCTCCCCATTGTATCGGTCATCCACAACAGCCCCAAATATTATGTTAGCAGAAGGGTCTGCCAAACTAGTCACAACCTGAAAGTTTACAATCATAGAGAATTATTTGTCACGCCATTGGCTAAAAGCACTTGAAGGTTAGTTGCTTAATATATAACAGATTACATTGACTCATTTCATAGGTATTTATGAAACCAATATTTGCTCATTTAATTCAATTGGAAGAATCAGACACTGCAAAGCTTAATAAATTCAGTACCTGGGACACTCTATTAACCTCCTGCAAAGTTATGTCCTTTCCTCCAGTAATATTATATACCACACCAGTCGCCGACTGGATTGATGATCCAATCAAAGGAGCTAAAGTTGCTTGTTCAGCAGCTTCTTCTGCACGGTTTTTGCTAGAGGAAACCCCCACTCCAAGCATTGCAGTTCCAGAATCTTTCATGACTGCCTTTACATCTGCAAAATCCACATTCACCAGTCCAGGTATCTGCAAAAGACGAAAACAATAAAAGCAAACTTAGGATTTACAAATTATTTTAAGAAAACCTTTGAAAGAAGCACACTTAAACAGTTTCAATTTCAACCATGCGGAAAGATTGACTCTAGGTGGACCATGAAAACCTCAGGTAGAAAACAAATGGTCAAAACAGGCTTTCTAAGATTAACAAAAGCTGAATGCCCAGTGGCCAAAATGTGGAAAAATACAGTTCAGCAATCTTGAAAACAACTCACTGTTATTATGTCGGAAATTCCTTGCACCCCTTGACGTAGAACATCATCAGCGAGGAGGAAAGCATCCTGAAGTGGTGTCTGCTCATCAGCAATATCAAGTAGACGATCATTGGGAATCACAATTAGAGTATCAACATTCTTTTGCAACTTTTCAATGGCCTCCAGCGCCTGCAAAGATGCAAACATGAGAAATTTCTTTGAAGGAACTTTGAACAATAAAAGATTTTGTATACTCTAAATACAGGAAAAAAAATGTAACCAGTAAGCTTAATCCAGTATCTATACTCTCTTCAACCCAGTATGCAAATGGCAAGGAAACTACATTAGAGAGTCCTTCAAAAACAGATATATGAATCATTGAAAACCACCTACGAAACCCACAATCTCATGACTGGCCTAAGTGGAAGAAATAAGCCATGTCATTTAATAAAGCAGATTCAGTACTAACGAAAATTCATTCCTTAAAATTCCATGTCGTATTGCAAGTAGAGTATAATATTAGAAATCACACTCAAAGCTAACACCACTGAAGATAATAATTTGAAGAAATCACCAATTGAAATACCAGTTACATAATTTAGACAAAACAGGGAATTGTTTCTCCTAAGCATTTTAGCAAAGGACTCCACTCACTTTCTCCCTTGCACTCATATATTTGTTGGCTGAGAAGATATGTTTTCTAAATTGCTTATCTGATTGTTTATATATATAGCATACTGTAAACAGATAATCAAGCTACTTTCTCGGTCTCATACAAAAACCCAAATGACACCTGCCTGCACGGATCTTTTACGTCCTTCAAAGCTGAAAGGATAAGTAACCACACCAACAGTCAAATAGCCAGCCTCTTTTGCTATCTGAGCAACAACTGGTGCAGCACCCGAACCTGTGCCTCCGCCCATACCAGCTGTAATAAACACAAGATCTGAGCCCTTAAGAGCATTTGCAATGGCTTCCTTTGATTCCTCAGCAGCCTGCTCCCCCAGAAGCGGATTTCCACCAGTGCCTGCATTTGAAGCAAATAATCAGAATCTAAGGACACACATAGTACACATGTGGGCAACAAACAACCACCCAAAGCAATCATTAACATTCATTACACAATCGATGTATTTCTCCTATTTTAGAAGAGTAGCAAACCTAGTCCACGAGTCAAAAGCTCTCCAATTTGAAGTGGATTCTGTGCAGCTGATTGTAAAAGGGCTTGAGAATCCGTGTTTATGGCATAAAAATCAACTCCCTATCAAAGCAAAATTGAGCCCCATTAATAACAATTCACCTAACAAAATTTTCAAGCCACCCTTTCTTATAATTCAAATTGCCGTCATAATTTAAATTGCTATGGATAATAGGTTTCAAATAAGAAACCCAGACTGCAAAAACCAATAACTTAATTATAAAGTTTCAATCTTTACAAAATGTAGAGCCAAACTCTAGAAATTACACTCAAATTTAACATTAAAAATAATAAAAATGAAAACTTTTGAAAAACCCACATGTAAACCACTGCCAATCATGCGATTAACAGCATTGTTGCCACCTCCACCGACACCCACAACCTTAATTTTGGCAGTCTCAATTGGAGCAAATGAACAGCTTACACTCCCTTTATGGGGCCGTTTCCAGAGGCTCCTGCGCACCGTTTTGTGATTATGGGAGAGTGTTTTGTTGAGGTGATATGAAGAGGCAAATGAAGATGATGATGAAAGGAATTCATTTGGGTTTGTCACTTGAAGTGTTGCCATTGTTATAGCAAAACTGTATCTGAAAATGAAAGTGAAGTGAAAATAGAGAGAGGTTTTAGGGTTTTAGAAGTAACAAGTTTCAGCTTCACATCACCTGAGAGTGAGTTCAGTTCTTGGAGATATTTGGGAAAGATTGGGTGGACCTGTGCTTTAAATTTCTTTTTCCATTGCTTTATACGATACCGTTTGACAACACTCTTATTGCTATTTTGATTTTTAAATTCGAGGATATTGGATACATCTTTATTTTTTATCTGATAATATTATCTACTAAATTAAACAAATAATGTACTGTTAGTAATGATCCTCAATTTTCAGGTAATACCTCAAACTTTCCATTCCAAAATGATGGCTTTAATGTAAGCTAAGAGTTGATCTAATAAACAATATGTCAACACTACATGAGACGTTATATTATTTAAAAATACAAAATTTAGGATTTTATTTCAAGAATATAATAAATTTGAGATTAAGTAATGTTAAGTCCACAACCTAATCTCACAACATTCTCTTAATAACCCTCAAGATTAGCTTTATTATAAGTCTTGCCTACCTATTTGCAAATTCACCAATTACGAGAGTTGTGAAAGAATATTTTGAGATTAAATTGTAAACCTAACATTTTTGTGTAGGATTTTAGTTCAGAAATGTAATTTTATTGATATGTGAATAAGAATGAAACAATTCCAAATGCTTCCCTCTCATGTACTACTTGCCCCAATTTTGAGGGTCGAGAGCTATAGTCTGTAATGGAAGAAGAGTTTTCAAAGACAATGGATAGAGCCAATCAGCTGACTTGGAACTATAACCACAACTCAAAGGTCAGTCAAGCTGCTAAGGTCTCATTCTTAAGAATCATAAATTGACTTGGCAAAAGAGTTTTACTCCTCAAAACTTCGATGAGATTTTATTGCTATATACTCAATAAAACAAAGGAGAAACTGTTTCTAAAGAATTATTTCATTCAAATTACAAGTCGAGCTGAAGGCTTGCCAATAGTTTCGGAAATGGATGAGAGAAAAATGTTTACAATTCAAGGACAAATAGTATCAAACACCAATATAACTCCAACTGAAATTTCATGCACTCCAATATGAGCTACACAGATCCAACATGAAGAAATACAAAATGATCCATCAGACCTAAAAAACAGATATATTCCCGGGGCCTCCACAACAGATACCTCTGGATTACCAACAATATACTATGCTTCTCCGTAAAGAATTTCAATACTACACTTCTCCACAACGGATTTCATTCACCTTCACTCAGAATAGGGACTATGAGTGGTTTCATCTGGGCAAGGTATACAATCGCCCACCTAAAGAAAACAAAAGAACAAAGAAGGTAATTTCAATAATGAGAAAAAATGAACAAAAAACCGGATGAAGACAATCACATGTTTGTGTCTAATATACAGCTTCAAATTAAGAGACTTTAGATATTCCAAAACTGATTAACATAAGAGATAGAACAAACAAATCTAAAACATAAACTTACATCATCCAACAGCATACTGTTGCTGTAACAACCAATGTTAGATGGAACCTGCATTGCAAAATTAAATTAGCCATTTTGCATAAAGAATAAATATTATACCGAGTGATAAAGACAAAACCGTAAATGACCAAAAGAAGTCTTCTACACTTGGCAATTCTAAACCAGAAATTTAACCATAGCCATTGATGATAAAACTTTCCATGCATTAATATCCTTTATATGATGATAATATGAGATTCATAAATATTTAGCAGGCAAGCATGACATGCATGTTTTCCCAAACAAAATTATAGATAATATCTAAGTATGATCTTTTCAACAAAATTACAAATCACGTACACATGAATCCAAAAATTGAGCATGTATGTATAAACATGCATATCTAGAAGTCACTTTCCAATACTAATTCTAATGAAGTAGGGTCCCAGGAGAGAGTCTGGCTAATGTTAAACCCTTTGGTGTTGTAAACATGAAGTCACCACTCCGAAGAATAGAATCATTAGCTAGCACTTGTCAGCACAAGACTAATACCATTCCACAATGCAGAAGCTCCTATATATACATACGAGTGTTGTCTCCAGGGTTCTAAACTTCTAAAAAAGATAATTTACAAATTCAATAAAAGTGAGAAGCAGCACGGCCTAAACAAAAAATATACCGCTGAAGCAAGGAGTTATGAAACAACAGTAAAAATGGCTGCATTGAGTAAAATTGACAATTAAACTGTCCCCTCACATTAACATGCAAAATATTTGGACACCCTATGAAAAAGTGAATTGCCCCAGATTGCCCCATAAAGTTACGAAATATTTCATTCATTCCAGTAGATCCATAGCAACAATGCCTGAAACAATCGGCTAAAGAAAAGTGAGTTCATAACATTTCCATGAAATCACTAATCTGATCGTTATTTTCTGTAAACTGAAAATCCCATTAACCCGCTTAGGAAACTTAAGTCTGAAACTAGGGCCAATGTCGAAACCTAAAATCTTTTAAAAGGTTGCCTAAAATCTTTCAAAAGGTAGATTCCACAATGAATCAAAGTCCAAACCCTGTGGGAGCAAACCACAGGCTTTAACACACAGACTAATTCCTCAATCTAAATCACTAATATGACCCTAATCTATTAATTAGATCCTAAATCCAGTTTTCTACCTTTCTTCAATGGGCAGATTTACAATTTTTTCAATATATTATCACATTACTAAAAGCAATTTTTAACTACTCATCCACAATAACACAAACAGATAAACCAAATACATTTACTAAAAAACTTAATCCAAAAATCAAGAATTAAACAAAAAAAACATACAAATTGGCAGAGGGTCCTCTGTTGCAGCAAATTCTGGTACAAAGAGACGCAATGATTCCAATCACCACAAAGATAAGCGTTGTCACCATAAAACCCATCTCGAGATTGTAACGTAAATTAGGTTCGATCACCTATAAATTCAAACTTTATCAGAGAAAATAATTAATAAGAGACACCCAGATGAGTTAAAAACTGCAAAAACTTATAAATAAGGAGAAAATAAGCAAAAACATTACCGTTTTGAGCCGGAAAAAAATTAGAAAAGTTGGTACTTGTAAACAATAAATTATAATGTAAAAACGAAAAAAAATTGTACCTTCGGAGGAACAGATCGAGCTAGTTATGGAGTAGATCAAAAAATCGCCCACTTCAATCTCCCTCTAATTCTCTCTCTTTCGTTCGTTTACTCGCTCTCTGTCCCTTTGTCGTGTTCCAGATGATAAAAGCCATAGCTTTGAGCACCAATAGATTAATTTGGGGGCAAAAATTATGGGTCTGGGCCTGATTCTTACACAATTATGGGCCTTTGGCCCAAATTTCTCTAGCCTGAATTGCAAGGGTCCATTTGTTTTAATATTTTTACACTATCCTATTCCTATAATTCTGAAAATACACGTTTGTTTTCCTATTCTGAAAATCATATTCTATTGTATTCAACTACCTTTCAACTCCTAGGTTTGTAAACTTAACTAAACACCCCCAAAAAAGTTTAAAAATTGACAAAAACACCCTCACCCACCCACATTTGCCAGATTCTAGTCACCACTGTCAGAAGGTTGTCGGAATCTAGGATAATGGTGCACTACTGGCTGAATCTAGCTGGTAGTGTGCCGCTATAGCCTTTTTGGCCAGGTCCACAGTGGATCTGACTAGAAAATGTCAGATCTACGGCCAAAGATTGGGTCGTTGACAGCCAAATCTTTAGCCATAGCTAGTCGTCAATGACGGCCAAGATTGGCTGTCGTTGACCATCAACGACGACCATATCTTTGGCTGCCATTAATGACCAAACACAGCTAGATCTAGCCTTTTTCGGCCAAATCCACGATGGATCTGGCTGGAAAAAGTCATCTCAGTGCACGACCAGCCAGTCATGCACCGATACAGCAACTCCGGCCACCCTCCGGCGATGGTGGCTAGCTACTGGTATTTAATGGGTGGGTGAGGTGTTTTTGTAATTTTTAATAATTTTATTACAGGGGTGTTTACTAAATTAACAAACCTATGGGGTGTTTTTGTTAATTTTTAGATCCTACCTCGTTATTCCCTTTCAACTCTTACTTTTTCAAATATACTATCCAAAATACTAAAATAAACGGACCCAATAAAATTGTGTAATTTTGTTAAAAATAAGAAAAGAGAATACGACAATACTAATACTATACATACAAACTCCTCATATAAATTTTTCTAAAAATCATTACTCATAATTTGTAAACGCTCTTTGTATACATATTACATCTATAAATAATTAAGAAAATTTTAGGAAATGAAGAAAATTTTCGGGATCTACGAACTCACGGAGCTATCTTTTGAGATGTTAAACGTGTCGTGTACATAACACAATTATTATAGTAACATAATAATAGTAGAGTAAACGACATATTCTCGCTCAAGGTTTGACAAAATTCCAAGTTGGTACCCTAAGTTCTATTTATTCCAGATTCATACCCTTAAAATAACGGAAAATTGTTAGATATAACGGCTCAGGGGTAAATTGGTCATTTTGCAGAGGACGTGCACATTAACAAATTGCCGCCTCTAACAAAGCTCCGGTGCACATTAGCCAACATCACTGTTGACGTTTTTCGCCCTTTTCCAGTGATTCTTTCACCCAAAATCACTCTTGTCACCACCATTCGAACCCTCATCCTCCCCTCTACAAAACCTTACTCTTCACAACCTTCATCACTCGCTGACCGCCAACCACGACAACCGTCAAATGCAATTGGTTTTCATCGGTCTAGACCGGCGAATGGCCACTAAACGATTGCTGGGGACAGAGGGGTTTTGTAGATTTGGAGACACTAGTTGCAGTGGTGATGTCCAATTGGATTTTCATCGTCGGAATCGACTGGAATCCAGCGAAGAACAACGAAAACCTAAGCCTGACAGTGCCGACGATTAAAGGGGCGAATGAGTCGGGAACCAAAGGGGTTTTGGACGACGAACAATGGGAAAGGTGATGGAGGTGACTAGGGGGTTCAACGTTATCGGAAACAGCCCAGATCCGATGAAAACAGAGACGATGCGCAATCATTAAGGGTGTAATTGAAGTAATTTCAAAATAAGATGGTTAATTTATAATTTTAGAAATTTAGGAGTTAAAAAATAATTTATTAATTTATGATTAAGGGCATTATGGTAATTATACCCACACTACCCTAAAAATTGTTAACATTGTTATTTTAAGGATAGGAATCTGGAATAAATAGAACTTGGGATACCTACTTGAGATTTTGTCAAACCTTGGGTGGAAATATGTTATTTACTCATAATAGTATGACATAAGGTCTATCGGACCATGTAAGACATTTTTCTAAGACAGTGCCACATATCTAGCTTAACCTCCTGCATACCTTTATGGGCCAGAGAAATTAGGATTGTTGGGATTTGAAATTTCAGATTTTTGCTTACTTAGCACACACCAAAACATTTCTGAATGTACCAATAAGCATAGAGTGCTTGGATTGATCTTTTTAATATGATGTTTATTGGGTTTTGCATTTTTTACATATATTAAAACTTATATTAAATTTCGTCGCCCATTAATATTATATTACTAATGTAATAATTTATATTAAAAATATTATAATATATTAAAAACTTTATGACATCATACAAACGTTTTACTGAAACAAAAATATTAATATGATACGCATTAATCCACTCATGGTCATAGGCAGTGCAGCAATAGGAGCGAACCAAAAAGGTTGTGCATCACTTTAACTTATTGTCTCAAGTTTAATTCCCATTGAATGCAAAGGTGGGCAAAGGTAGTGATTTACTTGGAAATCGTGACGGTAGGTTGCTGAGGATTAGTCGAAATTTTCATGCCTATATACTCAAAACAAAGGAGAAACTGTTTCTAAGAATTATTTCATTCAAATTACAAGTCAAGCCGAAGGCTTGCTAATACTTTCGGAATGGATGAGAGAAATGTTAACAATTCAAGGACAAATAGTATCAAACACCAATATAACTCCAACTGAAATTGCATGCACTCCAATATCACGATCCACATGAAAGAAATATAAAATGATCCATTAGACCTAAGAAACAGTTATATTCCCGGGCCTCCACAACAGATACCTCTGGATTACCAACAATATATATCGTTCTCCTAAAGAATTTCAATACTACACTTCTCCACAAAGGATTCATTCACCTTCGCTCAGAATAGGGACTATAGTGGTTTCATCTGGGCAAGGTATACATCGCCCACCTAAAGAAAACAAAGAACAAAGAAGATAATTTCAATAATGAGAAAAAATGAACAAAAAAACCAGATGAAGACAATCACATGTTTGTGTCTATACAGCTTAATTAAGAGCTTTAGATATTCCAAAACTGATTAACATAAGGATAGAACAAACAATCTAAACATAAACTTACATCATCCAACAGCATATGTTGCCGTAATAACCAATGTTAGATGAACCTGCATTGCAAAATTAAATTAGCCATTTTGCATAAAGAATAAATATTGTACCGAGTGATAAGACAACCATAATAACCAAAGAAGTCTTCTACACTTGGCAATTCTAAACCAATATTTAACCATACCATTGATGATAAAACTTTCCATGCATTAATATCCTTTATATGATGATTATGAGATTCATAAATATTAGCAGGCAAGCATGACACATGTTTTCACAAACAAATTATAGATAATATCTAAGTATGATTTTTTCAACAAAATTACAAATCACGTACACATGAATCCAAAAATTGAGCATGTATCATAAACATGCATATCTAGAAGTCACTTTCCAATACTAATTCTATGATAGGGTCCCAGGAGGAGTCTGGCTAATGTTAAACCCTTTGGCGTTGTAAACATGAAGTCACCACTCCGAAGAATAAATCATTAGTTAGCACTTGTCAGCACAAGACTAATACCATTCCACAATGCAGAAGCTCCTATATATACATACGAGTGTTGTCTCCAGGGTTCTAAACTTCTAAAAAGATAATTACAAGTTCAATAAAAGTGAGAGCAGCACGGCCTAAACAAAAAATATACCGCTGAAGCAGGAGTTATGAAACAACAGTAAAAATGGCTGCATTAGTAAAATTGACATTAAACTGTCCCCTCACATAACATGCAAAATATTTGGACACCCTATGAAAAAGTGAATTGCCCCATAAAGTTATGAATATATTCATTCATTCCAGTGATCCATAGCAACAATGCCTGAACAATCGCTAAAGAAAAGTGAGTTCATAACATTTCCATGAAATCACTAATCTGATCGTTATTTTCTCTAAACTGAAAATCCCATTAACCCGCTTAGGAAACTTAAGTCTGAAACTAGGGCCAATGTCAAACCTAAAATCTTTTAAAAGGTTGCCTACATCTTTCAAAAGGTAGATTCCACAATGAATCAAAGTCCAACCTTGTGGAGCAAACCACAGGCTTTAACACACAGACATTTCTCAATCAAATCACTAATATGACCCTAATCTATTAATTAGATCCAAATCCAGTTTTTCTACTTTCTTCAATGGGCAGATTTACAATTTTTTCAATATATTATCACATTCTAAAAGCATTTTTAACTACTCATCCACAATAACACAAACAGATAAACAAATACATTTACTAAAAAACTTAATCCAAAATCAGAATTAACAAAAAAACATACATTGGCAGAGGGTCCTCTGTTGCAGCAATTTCTGGTACAAAGAGACCGCATGATTCCATCACCACAAAGATAGCGTTGTCACCATAAAACCCATCTCGAGATTGAACGTAAATTAGGTTCGATCACCTATATTCAAACTTTATCAGAGAAAATTTAATGAGAGACACCCAGATGAGTTAAAAACTGCAAAACTTATAAATAAGAGAAAATAAGCACAAACATTACCGTTTTGAGTCCGAAAAAGATTAGAAAAGTTGGTACTTGTAAACAATAAATTATAATGTAAAAACGAAAAAAATTGTACCTTCGGAGGAACAGATCGAGCTGGTTATGGTAGATCAAAAAATCGCCCACTTCAATCTCCTCTAATTCTCTCTCTTTCGTTCGTTTGCTCGCTCTCTGTCCCTTTGTCGTGTTCCAGATGATAAAAGCCATAGCTTGAGCACCAATAGATTAATTGGGGGCAAAAATTATGGTCTGGGCCTGATTCTTACACAATTATGGGCCTTTGGCAAAAATTTTCTATCCCAAACCTCCTTTGTTGTCTCATACTTTGCTAACTGTGTACCTATGGAATGCCCAACAGAATTGTTAATCCAAGTAATAATTTTTGCATTGTTTGCTTCCCAGGCATCTATCAAAGCATCATAACCCTCATCAGTATTATTAGGTTTCACCGAAGTTCCACTAACATATCCCCACATCTTTTTACCCTTAAGAAAATTTCTCATCACATAACTCCAATACGAATAATTCTTGTCATCTAACCTCACACTTACAGACTGAAGCGAATCATCTCTTTCAGTAGCAATATTCAAAAAACAAAGAAAACCAGAATGCAAAAGAAAGGAAAACGAAATACCAGATTGACGAAATTGAACAAATATCAACGAAATACCAGATTGCCGAAATTGAACAAATATCAACAAAATACCAGATTGCCGAAATTGAACAAATACCCTCTCCAAAAAGTTGGATCCGCGTAAGCTATGTTTAAGATTAAGCCTCGTCCCATGAAATTTTGCTCTGATACCATGTTAAACAATCCAAAGAAATAATAAAAAGAGGAGGCTAGGGTTTCATTGATACTGCACAATTCAATTGAATACAAAAGTATGATTTAACCTAAATACAAAGATATGTATAGGCTAAACAATAGAAATAATGAAAAGACAGATCTACCCTTAATAAACAATAAAACAAAATAACCCATATTTCTTAACATGTAATAATACTGATCGTCATATTTTTTATATGGCCAATAGTCTTGTGGATTATCAAGAATACACCAGAAGGAAAGCTAGTAAAGGAAATATACATTCTAGGATTATTGATTCTTCCTTTGGTCATGGGAACTCTGACTGACAGTTTAGGTATGACTTTTGCGCTGGGAGCTATACTTATTTATAGCTGATCTTTTGTGATATATATATATACACATAAGTTTAGACTTATTATTGGAAGTGGGAAGAAGCCCTTGTGTTACTGTCAAAATAAAGAAGTTTAGACTTATTTATAGCTAATCTTTTGTGTATGTCACTGTTTATTTTTCTGCTTTGCATGGGAGTTTTGGAGGCTCAGGTAGATGACTTATATAAATAAGTACAAAGGACAAGAAACAAGAAGCGCAAGTTGAGACTTATTGTTGGAAGTGGGAAGGAGCCCTTGTGTTATCTTCTCAGCTTGTTCTTTCATTCACAACCTCGAGTTTTAAATCACTCTATCTTTTAGCTTGAGAGATTCACATTTTTGTTAGGGTCTTGTTTTGGTTCTTCAATGGCGAGTTGGGTCTTATCAGAATGTGGTGTAAGACCCCTGCCAAGAATCTATGCAAAACCCAGAACTGGATTCTCCAAGTTTAGATCATTTCAAGTTGCTAAAACTCACAGTTTTTCTTCTTCATTTAAGGTTTCAAATGGGTTTAATGACAGAAAGTGGTCATTGAATGTGAGTGTTCCATTGAGCGGACAAGAGATTTTAAGGGAGGAGAAAATCAATGGAGTTAGAGAAGAAGAAAATGGTGGTGAGTTTTACCCTGCTGCGCCTCCTTCTTTAGAGCGGCTATTCCTAATCATTGTTGGGTTAAGAATCCATGGAGATCAATGAGCTATGTTGTGAGAGATGTTGCTGTGGTTTTTGGCTTGGCGAAGAAGAAGAAGAAGAGGTGTTCAGAATGTTTTTTTTTTTTTTTTTAAGTATGGACAGAATTGACGCCCGTCCAAACTTAAGGGACGGGCATACATTTCTAATGGACGCTCGTCCAAACGTAATTTATGGACGGCCGTTTCCAAATTTTTTTTTTTTATTTTCATATTTTGGTTAAGGACAGGCGTCCCTTATTTATGGGCGCCTGTCCAAAATGAAGGGACGATTGTCCATAACGGATGAACGGCCGTCCCTAATTTTTATAAAAATATTTTATTCCATTTTACTTATAGACGGGCATCCTTTAAATGGGGACGCTCGTCCGTAGTAAATGGACCCCCGTCCATCAAATATGGACGGGGTCCATGTGAGTGAACGGCCGTCCATATTTGATGGACGGCCGTTCACTAGAAAAATATTTATAAAAAAATCAAGCGTCTAGATTACTGGTGTGAGTCACGCATACACATAGACCGATACACATTTTCGATGCAAAATATTCGATGTTTATAGCTTTGTTGGTCTCGCCTACCTATTTACAAGTTGACCAATTGCGAGAGTTGTGAAAAAATATTGTGAGATTAGATTGTGAACCTAACATTTTTAATTAAGATTTTAGCTCAGAATTGTAATTTTATTGATATGTGAATAAGAATGAAACAATCCCAAATGCCTCCCTCTCATGTAATACTTGCTACAATTTTGAGGGTCGAGAGCTGTAGTCTGTAATGGAAGAAGAGTTTTCAAAGACAATGGATAGAGCCAATCAGCTGACTTGGAACTATAACCACAACTCAAAGGTCAGTCAAGCTGCTAAGGTCTCATTCTTGAGAATCATAAATTGACTTGGCAAAAGAGTTTTACTCCCCAAAACTTCGATGAGATTTTATTGCTATATACTCAATAAAACAAAGGAGAAACTGTTTCTAAAGAATTATTTCATTCAAATTACAAGTCAAGCCGAAGGCTTGCTAATACTTTCGGAAATGGATGAGAGAAAAATGTTAACAATTCAAGGACAAATAGTATCAAACACCAATATAACTCCAACTGAAATTGCATGCACTCCAATATGAGTTACACAGATCCAACATGAAGAAATATAAAATGATCCATTAGACCTAAGAAAACAGATATATTCCCGGGGCCTCCACAACAGATACCTCTGGATTACCAACAATATATTATGCTTCTCCGTAAAGAATTTCAATACTACACTTCTCCACAAAGGATTTCATTCACCTTCGCTCAGAATAGGGACTATGAGTGGTTTCATCTGGGCAAGGTATACAATCGCCCACCTAAAGAAAACAAAAGAACAAAGAAGATAATTTCAATAATGAGAAAAAATGAACAAAAAACCAGATGAAGACAATCACATGTTTGTGTCTAATATACAGCTTTAAATTAAGAGACTTTAGATATTCCAAAACTGATTAACATAAGAGATAGAACAAACAAATCTAAAACATAAACTTACATCATCCAACAGCATACTGTTGCTGTAACAACCAATGTTAGATGGAACCTGCATTGCAAAATTAAATTAGCCATTTTGCATAAAGAATAAATATTATACCGAGTGATAAAGACAAAACCATAAATGACCAAAAGAAGTCTTCTACACTTGGCAATTCTAAACCAGATATTTAACCATAGCCATTGATGATAAAACTTTCCATGCATTAATATCCTTTATATGATGATAATATGAGATTCATAAATATTTAGCAGGCAAGCATGACAAGCATGTTTTCACAAACAAAATTATAGATAATATCTAAGTATGATTTTTTCAACAAAATTACAAATCACGTACACATGAATCCAAAAATTGAGCATGTATGCATAAACATGCATATCTAGAAGTCACTTTCCAATACTAATTCTAATGAAGTAGGGTCCCAGGAGAGAGTCTGGCTAATGTTAAACCCTTTGGCGTTGTAAACATGAAGTCACCACTCCGAAGAATAGAATCATTAGCTAGCACTTGTCAGCACAAGACTAATACCATTCCACAATGCAGAAGCTCCTATATATACATACGAGTGTTGTCTCCAGGGTTCTAAACTTCTAAAAAAGATAATTTACAAATTCAATAAAAGTGAGAAGCAGCACGGCCTAAACAAAAAATATACCGCTGAAGCAAGGAGTTATGAAACAACAGTAAAAATGGCTGCATTGAGTAAAATTGACAATTAAACTGTCCCCTCACATTAACATGCAAAATATTTGGACACCCTATGAAAAAGTGAATTGCCCCATAAAGTTATGAAATATTTCATTCATTCCAGTAGATCCATAGCAACAATGCCTGAAACAATCGGCTAAAGAAAAGTGAGTTCATAACATTTCCATGAAATCACTAATCTGATCGTTATTTTCTCTAAACTGAAAATCCCATTAACCCGCTTAGGAAACTTAAGTCTGAAACTAGGGCCAATGTCAAAACCTAAAATCTTTTAAAAGGTTGCCTACAATCTTTCAAAAGGTAGATTCCACAATGAATCAAAGTCCAAACCTTGTGGGAGCAAACCACAGGCTTTAACACACAGACTAATTCCTCAATCTAAATCACTAATATGACCCTAATCTATTAATTAGATCCTAAATCCAGTTTTCTACCTTTCTTCAATGGGCAGATTTACAATTTTTTCAATATATTATCACATTACTAAAAGCAATTTTTAACTACTCATCCACAATAACACAAACAGATAAACCAAATACATTTACTAAAAAACTTAATCCAAAAATCAAGAATTAAACAAAAAAAACATACAAATTGGCAGAGGGTCCTCTGTTGCAGCAAATTCTGGTACAAAGAGACGCAATGATTCCAATCACCACAAAGATAAGCGTTGTCACCATAAAACCCATCTCGAGATTGTAACGTAAATTAGGTTCGATCAACTATAAATTCAAACTTTATCAGAGAAAATAATTAATAAGAGACACCCAGATGAGTTAAAAACTGCAAAAACTTATAAATAAGGAGAAAATAAGCACAAACATTACCGTTTTGAGTCCGAAAAAGATTAGAAAAGTTGGTACTTGTAAACAATAAATTATAATGTAAAAACGAAAAAAAATTGTACCTTCGGAGGAACAGATCGAGCTGGTTATGGAGTAGATCAAAAAATCGCCCACTTCAATCTCTCTCTAATTCTCTCTCTTTCGTTCGTTTGCTCGCTCTCTGTCCCTTTGTCGTGTTCCAGATGATAAAAGCCATAGCTTTGAGCACCAATAGATTAATTTGGGGGCAAAAATTATGGGTCTGGGCCTGATTCTTACACAATTATGGGCCTTTGGCAAAAATTTCTCTAGCCTGAATTGCAAGGGTCCATTTGTTTTAATATTTTTACACTACCCTATTCCTATAATTCTGAAAATACACCTTTGTTTTCCTATTCTGAAAATCATATTCTATTTTATTCAACTACCTTTAAACTCCTAGGTTTGTAAACTTAACTAAACACCCCCAAAAAAGTTTAAAAATTGACAAAAATACCCTCACCCACCCACATTTACCAGATTCTAGCCACCACCGTCTGAAGGTTGTCGAAATCTAGGATAATGGTGTACTACTGGCTGAATCTAGCTGGTAGTGTGCCGATATAGCCTTTTTGGCCAGGTCCACGGTGGATCTGGCTAGAAAATGTCAGATCTGCAGCCAAAGATTAGGTCGTTGACAGCCAAATCTTTAACCATAGCTAGTCATCAATGACGGCCAAGATTGGTTGTCGTTGACCATCAATGAGGACCATATCTTTGGCTGCCATTAATGATCAAACACAGCTAGATCTAGTCTTTTTCGGCTAAATCCACGATAGATCTGGTTGGAAAAGGTCATCTCAGCGCACGACCAGCCAGTCATGCACCGATACGGTGACTCCGGCCACCCTTCGGCGATGGTGGCCAGCTACTGGTATTTAATGGGTGGGTGGAGTGTTTTTGTAATTTTTAATAATTTTATTACAGGGGTGTTTAGTAAATTAACAAACCTATGAGGTGTTTTTGTTAATTTTTAGATCCTACCTCGTTATTCCCACTCAACTCTTACTTTTTCAAAAATATTATCCAAAATACTAAAACAAACGGACCCAATAAAATTGTGTAATTTTGTTAAAAATAAGAAAAGAGAATACGACAATACTAATACTATACATATAAACTCCTCATATAAATTTTTCTAAAAATCATTACTCATAATTTGTAAACGCTCTTTGTATACATATTACATCTATAAATAATTAAGAAAATTTTAGGAAATGAAGAAAATTTTCGGGATCTACGAACTCACGGAGCTATCGTTTGAGATGTTAAACATGTCGTGTACATAACACAATTATTATAGTAACATAATAATAGTAGAGTAAACGACATATTCACGCTTAAGGTTTGACGAAATTCCAAGTTGGTACCCCAAGTTCTATTCATTCCAGATTCCTACCCTTAAAGTAACGAAAAATGGTCAGATATAATGGCTCAGGGGTAAATTGGTCATTTCGCAGAGGAGGTGCACATTAACAGATTGCCGCCTCTAACAAAGTTCCGGTGCACATTAGCCAACATCACTGTTGACGTTTTTCGCCCTTTTCCGGTGATTCTTCCACCCAAAATCACACTTGTCACCACCATTCGAACCTTCATCCTCCCCTCTACAAAACCTTACTCTTCACAACCTCCCATCACTCGCTGACCGCCAACCACGACAACTGTCACATGCAATTGGTTTTCATCGGTCTCCACCGACGAATGGCCACTAAACGATTGCTGGGGACATAGGGGTTTTGTAGATTTGGAGACACTAGTTGCAGTGGTGATGTCCAATTGGATTTTCGTTGTCGGAATCGACTGGAATCCAGCGAAGAACAACGAAAACCTAAGCCTGACAGTGCCGACGATTGAAGGGGTGAATGAGTCGAGAACCAAAGGAGTTTTGGACAACGAATGATAGGAAAGGTGATTGAGGTGACCAGGGAGTTCAACGCTATCGGAAACAGCCCAGATCCGATGAAAACAGAGACGATGCGCAATCATTAAGGGTGTAATTGAAGTAATTTCAAAATAAGATGGTTAGTTTATAATTTTAGAAATTTAGGAGTTAAAAAATAATTTATTAATTTAGGGTTAAGGGCATTATGGTAATTGCACCCACACTAACCTAAAAATTGTTAACATTGTTATTTTAAGGGTAAGAATCTAGAATAAATAGAACTTGGGATACCAACTTGAGATTTTGTCAAATCTTAGGTGGAAATATGTCGTTTACTCATAATAGTATGACATAAGGTCTATCGGACCATGTAAGACGTTTCTCTAAGACAGTGCCACATATCTAGCTTAACCTCCTGCATACCTTTATGGGCCAGAGAAATTAGGATTGTTGGGATTTGAAATTTCAGATTTTTGCTTACTTAGCACACACCAAAACATTTCTGAATGTACCAATAAGCATAGAGTGCTTGGATTGATCTTTTTAATATGATGTTTATTGGGTTTTGCATTTTTTACATATATTAAAACTTATATTAAATTTCGTCGCCCATTAATATTATATTACTAATGTAATAATTTATATTAAAAATATTATAATATATTAAAAACTTTATGACATCATACAAACGTTTTACTGAAACAAAAATATTAATATGATACGCATTAATCCACTCATGGTCATAGGCAGTGCAGCAATAGGAGCGAACCAAAAAGGTTGTGCATCACTTTAACTTATTGTCTCAAGTTTAATTCCCATTGAATGCAAAGGTGGGCAAAGGTAGTGATTTACTTGGAAATCGTGACGGTAGGTTGCTGAGGATTAGAAAATTTTTATTCATAAAGTTGAGGTACACATTAACTAGTCTGAACACCTTAATATATATATACACGCAAAGGTGAGCAAAGTTAGTGATTTATCTGGAAGTGGCAGTATGTTACTGAGGATTAAAAAACTTTTATCTATAAAATCAAGGTGTGCGTAAACTAATCTGAAAATCTAATAATTTTAATTATATATTAATATAGAATATCCCTCTTAACTGGTTCTTTCTTTACATACCATTTCTCTTTGTTCTTTTTAAAAAGCCGAGTGTTCACAAGCACATTGAGAATTGATGCAGGCAAAAGTGGTTGACGATCGATTAGGATTTTAAAATAGGGACAACCCTAACTGGGTTGGTTTCAAAATAATGCATATAATTTTTTTAATATTTATTCACAAATTATGATCACATTATTCACCTATAGATAAAAGAAAAAGTAAATAGAAATGTGTTTATTAAATGAATCTAATCATAATTGCAACTTTTAAAAATATTAGATAAAAGAAAAGACATTCTTATATTCAAAGAAATTATAATTCTTGTCCCCCTTTATTTTTAATATCAGTTAATGGGTAAAATATGAAATATTTCATGACAATTATATTATATTATGTTATATTTTTGTTATAATATATTTCAAATAGTCGGGTGGTTTGGTTTAGTATTTTGGATAGGATTTAGGGATAGTAGTGATATTGGATATGGGAGTATTACGAGGTAAATTTTAAAAATGTGTAAAAAAGCCCTTAGGTTTACTAATTTAACTAAAGACCCTAACATATAAAATAACAAAAACACCCCCACCACCTGCAGTGTCAGATTCCGGCTACCACCGCCGGAATCTGGCCGAAAAATTTCGTTACGGCACAGACTTGTCGGATCTGTGCCGTAACATGTCGTTATGGCCTTTTCCGGCCGGAAAAGACCAGATCCACGGTCTGTTATGGCCGTCGACGGCCGAAAAAGGTCAAACGAGGGCCATCTTTGGCCGTCAGCGACGGCCAAAGATGTGGCCGTCGTTTTCGGTCAACGACGGCCATTTCTTTGGCCGTCGCTGACGGCCAGATCTGACCTTTTCCGGCCAGATCCGTGGTGGATCTGGCCGGAAAAGGCCACAGCGGTGAACTTCCGACCATTTCTGGTTGGAAGTTAGGCCGTTGTACAGATTTCAGCTATCACCGACGGTGGTTGCCGGAATCTGACAAGTTGGGTTGATGGGAGTGTTTTTGTTAATTTTTAAACTTTTTTTCAGGGGGTATTTAGTGAAATTAATAACTTTATAGGGTTAAAATGTAATTAAAAAATAGGATAATATTTTTAGAATATTGTACCAAATATTATTTGAAGAATAGGATCCAGAATAGGGATAAAAATATTAAACCAAACATGCAGTAGAGTATTAACGTATGTTTGCATGGACTAATCACTCACTCTTCGCCTCGTAATTATGCAAACAGCAAAAGATTAATGTAAAGCTAATTATTTTTGACACGTGGGGTTGATTTCATTAATTATATGATATGATCGATCCATGTGACTGGAGTCATTATCATATCTTCAACTCTCATCTCTAACTTATTACTAATATGACTTGCACTTTGTACCTGGCCATATTTTAAACTACTCTTCAATTACTCTCTTTAATCGTGAAGAAAGATGTAGAAACGTGATGGAGTTGGTAACCACTTTAACAATGGAGTAATATTACACGATCTTCTCTTATAAATTTTCTCTAATAATCCTGGTATAATGATTTATAATTAATTAGTGAGGTTGATATAATAGTTTATAATTAATTAATGAGACTTATGTGGGGTCTATATAAAATCTATTATAAATTAATTAATTATAAATTATCACATCAAAATTATTAATATAGTATTATTCTTAATAATAAGAGATTCATTTATAAAGGATACACATATAAGGGATAGTACCCTTAAAAACTGTAAACAGAGTTTTATTATAGTATTATTCTTAACAATAAGGAATTCACTTATAAAGGATACACACGTAGGGGATAATACCCTTGAAAACTGTAAACGATTTAGGTTAATATCATGAATGGCCATTATAAGATTCACTGATGAATAGAAATCCTAATAAAGTTTGGTCAGGGAATATGAATCTTTTGTTAAAATATTAGCCTTACCTATTTTTTTCGTTTTTTGAATAAAAGTGAGTAAGAAAAGAGAACAGGAGAAGATCTGAGTAAGACCAACATTTATTTATTTTATTCTCTCAAAACTTGTGGGGTTGTAAATATTAATATTTATTATAATACACGATGGGACCTAAACCTGCAAATCAAAATCACGTGAGGGAAAAGTAGTAACTAGTATGGACCGACAATGCCAAATCTTATCGATATGATAAGCCTTGTTGGACAAAAACAATCAATTTTATGCTCAAGAGTGAAGTCACCAGTGAGGTAAGCTATTATGTAAATAATTAACTAATTAATTTTCTAAATTTAATTGTTACTTGTAATAAGGACAATTGTCTGCTTAATTTACTCAACTAATGAAGACATTAAGCACATCATCACATGCAACAGAAACCAAAACCATAAATGCTTAATTAATTTATTTTTTGAATTACTTGAGCAGGCAAAGGGTAAATTTATGGATCTATATTATATATTGAAAGGATATGTTAAATAATTTCAGATTTATTAAAGAGTTTGTAGCTTTCGGGTGAGAAAATTTTAATCTCAGTTTAATCTTTTAGTCGTAAAGCCTACAACAAGTAGCTTGTGACTTTGTTATCTATTGGGGTTTAATATAAACTATACGACAAAATTTAGCTACGTCGATTAACTTAAGAACAAAATAATTGATGGGGTGATAGAGTTTCGATATGTTCACGTTAATTAATGTATCAAAATAGGAGCTTTACTTCTCCGTATGGATAAGAATAATAAAACTTTTGAAATATGTATGGAAAAACTTTGAAATTGAAACGAAATCAGGATATTCTTGACCATATAACACTTGTAAGTAAGTAAGTAACCAATGAGTGGATCTCGTGTGAACTGATCAATATGTAAGCTATCAACTATCTCGGGTAGCTGAGTGGTTTGATAGAGTTTTCAGGTGTATTACTCAAGAGATTCTAAGTTTAAGTCCTTTTTCGATGGCTGATAGGAATAATAATTAGAATTCTTACTTGATTGGTAGCTTCAAATATTATTTTAAAACTCGAGCCGTTGTGAGACCTGGTAAGGTGACTGGGTCACGGGCTGACTAGTCCAATCCATTTGATCAATGACGTCAACAATAAATTTATTTTAAAAAATTATAAATTAGTCTTTTAAATCATAGTATATTACAAAAATGCCCCTAAAAAATTTCAAATTAGTCCCTAATTTTATTTATTTATTTCAAGAATATGCAACAGATTACCAATTAATCCCTAAAGTTTTAACATATTTCAAAAACACCCCTAGAAAGTTATAAATGAGTCCCTATAAATTTGAAATAAAACAAGACCCCACTACAACCTAAACCAGATCGAAGAGACTGTCGAGTCTCGATTAGATTGGTTTGGGTTTTAGAACAATAATTCTAAATATCAAAGGATTAATTGAGGTATACAAAAACTAACCGACGCTCCGTTCGTACCAACAAAGATAGATTGATCAGTCAGCAACTTGTCAATTAATCCGATTTGCCACGTCCAGTTTATGTCTTTGTCATTATCAATCTCTCAAAGACAAACTCTTGAAACTTCTTCAATCACCACCATGTATCTTCATTACAACCACCCAATCCACAAGCAATTAATTCATAAATAATACAAAAGATAAAGGGGCCCTCTTACTTGTTAAAACTTTGACTCTTAGACTAGGGTTCTGATATTTTATCACAATCAAACAAAACAAGTGGACCCTTCTCTATCAAAGAGCCTTCTATAAATAGAGAGGCTATTCCCTGCACTTCCTTCACCAACTTGGCAAGCTTTCTTTTAGATTTTCTTTTACTGTTGTAATATTACATTATTAACAATGGCTTTCTCCAAGACTTTCCTTCTTCTTGGCTTCGCTTTTGCTGTTGTTCTTCTCGTCTCCTCAGAGGTCTCTGCTCGTGAGCTCGCTGAGACCACCCGTAAGCTAATTTCTTACTCTCTCTAGATTCAGCCAATTGTGTATATTTTCCTGTTATCTCTTGGTGTTATGTGGGCAATTTGTTTCCAGTTCTTATTTTTCAATGTTAATTTTGTTAAATGGTGTTGGAAAATAAGAATATTGCATGAAAATTCCTTGCATAAATATGTTTATAGCTCTTCTTTTGCTAGTAATTTAATCCCTATATATGATGATCTCTTTGCAGAGGGAACCAACGTGGAACAGTCCAATTATGCCGACCATGGATACGGACACGGATACGGACACGGCCACGGTGGAAACGGCCACGGTGGATACGGACACGGTGGACATGGACACGGTGGCCATGGTGGCCATGGCGGCCATGGAGGCCATGGCGGCCATGGAGGACACCCTGCCGATGAGACACAGGAGGTTGAAACTGAAGCCGGAGGGAATTAGAGAAATTAATTTTAGTTTCTTCCTAGCTTAAATAAGATTATGTGTGTGTGTCAATAAGCGTGCGAATGAGAATGTTATATATATTAACGAAGCAAAAGCATGCATGGTTGTATTTTATCTTGAGTTTGCCTAAGCAATACTCCCATCTTATCATGTATCTTAAAAGTTAATTTTATGTAATGAGAATATAGTGTTGTCTGTAGTTCAGTGTGCCATGAGATCTGTGTGTTCTCCTATTATAATTTTACACCATATATAATTTCAGAAACTAACATCTTCCATTACCAGGTAAATTTTACGTTTGACTTTAAAAATTTGGGGTAACGAGGTGAGATTGTCTTTATGCCTAAAGAGTGAATGCAATATGACGGACCAAGTTTACCTTCTTAGTCTCATAAACTAATAATAACACCTCAATTTTAAAATTTAAGGGTTTAAGCTTAAAAAAAAAAGGTGGTAATTGAAGAAAAAAAAAGTGTTGGGTTCTATATGATATTTAATACTTGGAAAATTGTAGAAGGGGTGGATATGTATAATGAGAGAATATTTGTATAATGTTAATGATTTTAGATGATTTATGTATGGTTGAGAGAAATAGATAAACAAAAAAATAAATATAAATAATATTGTTTTGTTGTACATGGGTGATAGAATACCTCTATTATTATACATCTAAGGCAAAGGGGAAAAGAAAAGAGCTAGGTCTCTTTATATTATATAGTATTCCATCTAATGTAAGTATTTTTAGGTAAACTTTTTTTTTTGGGTAAGTGGATGTTTTGGTAAACTTTATATTCCCTTAAAATTAAAACATAATAACATTAATAAGTTTTTTTTTTTTGTTTTTGTTTTTAAATGACCGAAGAGTTCAGGGTAACTTGGACATATCTCAATTAGTTTTCGGGGCCCAATGAGTACCCTACAAGCTAAATGTTCCAAGATAAACTATACATTATGGTAGATGACCTCAAAGTGATTTAAACCCAGGCCAATGAAAGAAGCAAACTCTTTGACTGTCAGGCTAAGTTGGATACGGAATAATTATAATTATAGTAATATGTTACTTAGTGTAAGTATTATTTTTATTATAATTAAGTCAACAAAATAAGGGTTGCTATGTGGGGGATCCCAAGTCTTTCTTTTGCCGTGCCGACCCTCTTACTCGATAAATCCTTCACTCTTGGAATCTGATGTTGGCTTAAATAAGGTAAGGATGTGGGTTTCCATTTTCCAACCATTTGGCAAGCAAGGTTTTAGTGTCTTTCAAATCTGATGATGATGACCACAACTAGATGATCTGATGGTAAAAAAATAAAAGAGGATTTAACATGGTCTTCCAAGTTCGAGTTCTTTTAATGGTGAAAGAGTAAGAGAAATATCTAACATTGTCTTGCAAGGGAAAGATCTAACATGGTCTTCTAAGTTTGAGTCCACTTAAGGGTAAAAGAGCAAGAGGAGAATCTAACATGGTCTTTCGAATTCAAGTCCCTATGGTTGTTAATAGGGGTGACTATTGCAGCTCATATTTGACCTATAATTTCAAGGTCTCGGGAGATTAGTTGAGGTATGCGTAAACTGGCTTGAACGTCCCCGATTATAAAAAAAAAAAAAAAAAAAAAAAATGACGATGATTCATGCATTTCACTTAAAGATACTCATGTTTACTGATTATCCTACCAAACATTATGACCAGAGTTAAACCGTTAAATTAGATTGTACAAATAAAAAAAAAATATGCCGCATGATTCATGCATTTCTACTTAGAGATGTACAAAAGATATTCAGGTAATGCGACATATTTATTTATTTTTGCTTGTCTTACACTTTTATAAACTCAAAAATATATACAATTCACATATAAGTGTTGGCTTCTATGTGATATTTGATAGTTTTAAAGTTTTATATATAAAGCTGTTGACTGGATCTTGGAAAATTGTTTAATTGGTTTGATATGTTTAATGAGAGAGTATTTATATAATGTTAATTAATGATATAACAAATTAATGAAGTTATGGTATACAGATTATTCATATATTGTTTAAATAGATGAATAATATATATAATTACTCAGTTAATAAATAATGTTTAGGTAAAATTGATTTATGTTAAAATTAAAAAATAATAAAATCAATAAGATCTTAGAATAACAAGTACAACAAATTAATAATATGTTACATAAGTATTAATTTCATATTTAAGTCAACAAAATAAGAGTTGCGATGTGGATCCCAAAGTCCTTCTCTTGCCTTATCAATTAAAGTAGCAAAATGTAGCTTAAATCACAATTCATAAACCAATTTTTTTTCATTAAGCGAAAATAAAGCCATTAAAATAAATTAAAATAAAATGTTTCTCTTTAAAAGCTGCGAGTGTTCACAAACACACAGAAATCATTTGCTAAATAATTCATGGTATCAGCAGGTAGTAGCTCTTTCTTCCACTGAAGTAGCCTAACTTCAAAACCTTTTTCATGAGCTTCATATTACCATCCCCGGTGTTCCTGTTCTTTGGTGTGAAAACACCAGTGCAGGTGCTCTTGTGCAAATCCCGTATTCCATGCGAGTACCAAACACATTGAAATCAATGTTCACTTTGTCCGTGAAATGGTTCAGTCTAAATTCTTGATGGTTCAATATGTTGCTTCTGAGTTTCAGGTTGCTGACATCTTGACCAAGCCGTTGTCTGGTTCTCGGTTTAAAACTCTTCGTGATGGCTTGCGTCTTGGTGCTGCTTCCTTCCCATTTGAGCTTGAGGGATGATCCTTCACATATCAAGCCTCAAATTCTGAGGATTCAGCAGCAGAAATAAACAAATCCTGAGAAAGAACGATCAGTCCACTTTTTTTTTTTTTTTTTCCTACAGTTTTTTCTTAAGTTCAGCTTGAGGGACAATGTTAACCAAAACATCAAGCTTCACTTAACTAACAGCATGCAAGTGGGAAGTACAAGTTGCAAAACAGAATACAAGTTGGCCTGCAAGTGGAGACGCAAGTTGCAGATCAAACGAACTGTATTTAGTTAGTTGTTAGTGATCAAACGGTGGAGAACAATGATTTGCATGTATAAATGTTGTAATAGTTACTGTTCACGTAGGAAAAAATATATGGAAAGAGTTTAGTGCTCTGTTTTCTTCATCCTCTCACAGTTCGTTTTTTTTTTTTTTTTTTTTTTTCTCTACAGTCGTCTCTCTTTCTCTCTCTACTGCGTTGAAAATTTTACAATATTAAAACATTTCCTAAGGTTAAATAAAATAACCCACATGAAATATATAAATAATTCTTCAAATTTGAAAACGTGGATAATTAATTCACTAATTCTACATTATTGATTATGTAATTGGTTTATTGTAATTTTAGGTTTTATGGACTACTTTTTATCAAAGGTATTTATCGAATTGATTCAAACTCTCACTTTATTAGTGAATAAGGTAATATATGAGTTTACATTAACTATTCCTCTTCAATAAGACGCCTACCTAGCTAACATTCGGATATGGCCACCCCAATACTTCTCATTATCTCTTCCAGTTGAATAGTTTTTTAATATCAAACGAATCCCCCAAAAGGTAATTCAATGTGGTTGGCTTCCCCTCTTCCAATGGTTTCACTAGTCAAGTTAATTGTTCACCCCTTTTTAGTGTGATATATGTTATGTATAGCGTCCCTAAGGGTATATATAGGTTGAAGGATTTGTTTTTTAATCTATATTTTTGTATCAAATTATTGTTAAGTTACAAAAACAATCAGCCAAGCAGTTTAATCAATAAACCACGTGAGGAAAGTATAGTTTAAGGTCAAGATGGGGCTCCCAGTGAAGTCACCAGTGAGGCAAGCAAGTTTTCTAAATTATATTTGTTTAAATGGAGAATTTATAATACATTTCTAATTGATTTAATAACTCTCCTCTATCCAAAATCCTTTGCGGCCATCTTTTTATACTTTTTGGATTACAGAACATGCAAGGATAAAATGGATTGATAATCGATATCAAAATAGATAATAAAACTTTTGAAATATGTATAGAAAAACTTGAGATTGAAACGAAATCGGGATATTCTTGAGCATGTAACACTTGTAAGTAACAAATGAAGGATTTCGTGTGAATTGATCAATGTGTAAGCAATCAACTATCTTTGAGTGGCTGAATGGTTTAATAGGGACTTTTGGGTGTATTACTAGAGGTTCAGAGTTCGAGTCTCTCTTCGGTTGCTAATAGGGGATAGTCACTAAAGTTCTTACTCGACTGGTAGTTCTAAACATTATTTTAAAACCTGACCCGTTGTGAGACCTGATAAGGTGACCAAGTCACAGGTCAACCAGTGATGTCAGCAATACATTTTCTAATTGATTTAATAACTCTCCTCTATCCAAACTCCTTTGCGGCCATCTTTTTAATTACCTTTTGGATTACATGAACATGCAAGGATAAAAATGGATTGATAATCGATATCAAAATAGAAGCTTTACTTCCGTAGGATAAGAATAATAAAACTTTTGAAATATGTATAGAAAAACTTTGAGATTGAAACGAAATCAGGATATTCTTGAGCATATAACACTTGTAAGTAACAAATGAAGGATTTCGTGTGAATTGATCAATATGTAAGCAATCAACTATCTTTGAGTGGCTGAGTGATTCGATAGGGACTTTTGGATGTATTACAAGAGGTTCTGAGTTCGAGTCTCTATTCGGTTGCTAATAGGGGATAGCCACTGAAGTTCTTACTCGACTGATAGTTCCAAACATTATTTTAAAAAATTAAAATAAGTCTCTAAATTTTTTATTTATTTAAAAGGTGTTCAAAAAATTACCAATTAATACATAAAGTTTTGACATATTTCAAAAACACCCCTAGAAAATTACAAGGAGTCCCTATAAATTTGAAATATAGCAAAACCCCCTAAAACCTAAACTGAACCAAAGAGGATATCGGGTCTCGATCGGACTAGTCCGGGTTTTAAAACAATGGTTTTAGATTAGAGATGTTAATGGGGATGGGTTGGGCCGAGTTGGGACCAGGTACCCCTTGGCCAGGGCTTGGGCTCAACCCTATAACCATGGTCTGGGCCTGGGCCTGGCCTGACCCCGTTGCGAGGATGTCCACTAATGTTTAGGCCCGACCCAACAGGTTTTTTGTGACTCCCAATCCCGACCTATGTTAATTTCTATAATTTATTTTCTCATAGTCAATCTTTGATATATATATTTTTTTTGTCATTCATATTAACTTAATTAATATTATCTTTTGCTTTAATTACCATAGTGTGTGTATAGATTAATATGGTGGACAAGGGATCTTGGATTTGACTAAAATCGCAATTGATTATTAATCATAATCAAATCAAATCAAATTTTAATTTTTTTAAATGATAAAAACTTGGGCTGGGTTGGGTCGAACTTGGGGATGGTTGTCCTAGGCCCGACTTGTACCAACAGGCAAGCCCTAAAACCATGCCCAAGCCCATGCCCATCCTTGCAAATAACGGGTAATGTCTGGCCCATATGGGCCGAGCCGAGCCGGGTACCTATAAATTCGAGTACAATTGCCATCTTTATTTCAGGTCTCAATAGATTAGTTGATGTACGCATAAACTAACCAAACACCCCCCTTGTATCAACAGAGATAGATGGATCAATCATCAACTCTCCATCCATCAACATATCAATTAATCCGATTTGCCACGTCCAGTTTATGTCTTTGTCATTATCAATCTCTCAAAAACAAACTCTTGAATCTTCTTTCAATCACCACCACGTATCTTCATTACAACCACCCAATCCACAAGCAATTAATTAAATTTTATATACAAACATATAAATATGATCCCATGAAAATTCCTTGCATAAGTATGACATCATAAGAACATTTTAATGAAACAAACATATAAATATGATAGCATTAATCCACTCATGGTCATGAGTAGTCCACCGATAAGAGTAAATCAAGAGGATTGTGTATTGCTTCAACTTACAATCTCAAGTTTAATTTCCCATTAAACATAAATGTGGCAAAGGTAATGATTTACTTTAAAAGTCATGACGATGGGTTACTAAGAATTATAAAACTTTTATTTATGAAGTTGAGATATACTTAAATTGACCTGAATATCTTAATTAATAAAATATATATGATCACATGGACAAAAAGAAAAAGCAAATAAGACAGGGTTTATTTAAATGAACCTACTCATAATTGCAACTTTTATAAAAGACGTGTGTTTATTTAAATGAACCTGTTTATTTTTTAATATCAGTTAATGGGTAAAACATGAACCATCTCATTTGACAATTATATTATATTATATTTTTGTTCATAATATATTTCAAATAGTGAGAATATTAACGTACGTATGCATGGGTTAATTGCCCACTCTTCGCCTCGTAATTTTGCAAACAGTAAAAGATTAATGTAAAGGCTAATTATTTTTGACACGCAGGGTTGATTTTATTATCTATATGATATGATCGATCCATGTGACTCGAGTCATTATCATATCTTCAACTCTCGTCTGTAACCTATTACTAATATGACTTACACTGTGTACCTGGACACATTTTAAACTACTCTTCAGTTACTCTCTCCAACCAGGAAGAAAGATGTAGAAACGTGTTGGAATCGGTGACCACTTCATTAATAACCCATTTTTAAAATTTTTTTTCACACAATTCTGATATGAGTTGGCAATTGTAATGGAACTCATGCCGGATGCAGGTATAATATATTATAAATTGATTAATTACGAGTTATCATATTAATAATAAAGGAATGAGGGTTTTGCTAGCAGGCGAGGGGTAGGAGATAGTACCCTTGAAAACTGTAAATGGTTGGGTTAATATCACGAATAGTCACTGTAGGATTCTCCATGGATAGAAATCCTAATAGAGTTTGGTCGAGGAATATGAATCCTAGTAGTTTAAGGTTTCTTTTTATAAACCTAATATATAAACACATTATTCTCTTGTATGAGTGATATAGATAATAGCAAATATATTCATTATAATGCGATAAGTAAAGAAATATTACAATAATATTAACTCTGTTGAATGTAATATGATTTTTGATGAACTAATAGAGTAAATCGCGTTTGTTTTTTGTCTTTACTATTTCGTTATTTGTGTGTGATTAGTATTAATTCAATTTCAAACACTCTTTAATTCTTTCAAAATGTACCATTGTAATATACTAATAATCTTATTAATTTAGAGCCTTAAAATTTTCATAAATTCAAGCCTAAACTACATTCTAATAAATTTCACACTAATTAAAGCTAATCAAGAAATTGTTTATCCATTTATTCACGTTCACTATCTTGATACTCAGTTCATTTTCGAAGGGAAACTTCAAGGTTTGATTAATCTTGTAGATGGATCAATTCATAAAGTTCAGAATGCTTTCATAAATTAAATTAATGTTTAGAATGCTCATAACACGTTTATTACTATGTTTGATGCCTTTGAAGAACAAATTAAAACAAGCAACATGAAAAGAAAGAGTGATAATGACACAAGTGATAAAACCTGTTGGGTTGTAAATATTAAATATACGATAATTAAATACAAAGTTTTAATTTATTTATTATAATACATGATGGGACCTCAACCTGCAAATCAAAATCACGTGAGGGAAAAGTAGTAACTAGTATGGACCGACAATGCCAAATCTTATCGATACGATAAGCCTTGTTGGACAAAAACAATCAATTCTATGTTCAAGAGTGAAGTCACCAGTGAGGTAAGCTATTATGTAAATAATTAACTAATTAATTTTCTAAATTTAATTGTTACTTATAATAAGAACAATTGTCTGCTTAATTTACTCAACTAATCAAGACATTAAGCACACCGTCACATGCAAAAGAAACCACAGCCATTAATGTTTAATTAATTAAATTAATTAACAAATAACAACCATCTTTTTTAATAATTTTTTGAATTACATGAGCATGCAAAGGATAAATTTATGGATATATATTGAAAGGATATGTTAAATAATTTCATCTTTATTAAAGAGTTTGTAGCTTTCGGGTGAGAAATTTCTAATCTCAGTTTAATCTTTTAGTCGTAAAGCCTACTAGAAGTAGCTTGTGACTTTGTTATCTATTGAGGTTTAATATAAACTATACGGCAAAATTTAGCTAATTCATGGGGTGATAGAGTTTCGATATGTTCACGTCAATTAATGTATCAAAATAGGAGCTTTACTTCTCCGTATGGATAAGCATAATAAAACTTCTGAAATATGTATGGAAAAACTTGAAATTGAAACGAAATCAAGATATTCTTGGCCATATAACACTTGTAAGTAAGTAACCAGTGAGGGGATTTTGTGTGAATTGATCAATACGTAAGCTATTAATTATCTCTGGGTAGCTGTGTAGTTTGATAGAGATTCTTGGTGACTAATAAAGATAATCACTGAAGTTCTCATTTGACTTGTAGTTCCAAGTATTATTTTAAAACTCGAGCCATTGTGAAACCTGGTAAAGTGATTGGGTCACGGGGTGACGAGTCCAATCGATTGGACCGACAAGTCAACTATAAATTTATTTTAAAAAAATTATAATTAGTCTCCTAAATCTTAGTATATTACAAAATATCCCTAAAAATTTTAAATGAGTCCCTAAATTTTTTATTCATTTTAAGAATACCCAAAAACTAACCAATTAATCCCTAAAGTTTTAACATGTTTTAAAAACACCCCCTTAAAATTAGAAATGAGTCTATAAATTTGAAATAACAAGACCTTTCTATAAGCTGAACCGGATCAGAGAGGCTATTGGGTCTTGGTCAGACTGATTTAGATTTTAAAACAGTAATTTCAGATGTCAAAGAATTAGTTGAAGTACACAAACTAACTGACACTCCCTTCATATCAACAAAGTTAGATGGATCAATCAGCAACTTATCAATTAATCTGATTTGCCACGTCCAGTTTGTCTTTGTCATTATCAATCTCTCAAAGACAAACTCTTGAATCTTCTTCAATCACCACCATGTATCTTCATTACAACCATCCAATCTACATGCAATTAATTCATAAATAATACAGAAGATAAAGGGGCCCTCTTACTTGTTAAAACTTTGACTCTTAGACTAGGGTTCTGATATTTTATCACAATCAAACAAAACAAGTGGACCCTTCTCTATCAAAGAGCCTTCTATAAATAGAGAGGCTATTCCCTGCACTTCCTTCACCAACTTGGCAAGCTTTCTTTTAGATTTTCTTTTACTGTTGTAATATTACATTATTAACAATGGCTTTCTCCAAGACTTTCCTTCTTCTTGGCTTCGCTTTTGCTGTTATTCTTCTCGTCTCCTCAGAGGTCTCTGCTCGTGAGCTCGCTGAGACCACCCGTAAGCTAATTTCTTACTCTCTCTAGATTCAGCCAATTGTGTATATTTTCCTGTTATCTCTTGGTGTTATGTGGGCAATTTGTTTCCAGTTCTTATTTTTCAATGTTAATTTTGTTAAATGGTGTTGGAAAATAAGAATATTGCATGAAAATTCCTTACATAAATATGTTTATAGCTCTTCTTTTGCTAGTAATTTAATCCCTATATATGATGATCCCTTTGCAGAGGGAACCAACGTGGAACAGTCCAATTATGCCGACCATGGATACGGACACGGATACGGACACGGCCACGGTGGATACGGACACGGTGGATACGGACACGGTGGACATGGACACGGTGGCCATGGTGGCCATGGCGGCCATGGAGGCCATGGTGGACACACTGCCGATGAGACACAGGAGGTTGAAACTGAAGCCGGAGGGAATTAGAGAAATTAATTTTAGTTTCTCCCTAGCTTAAATAAGATTATGTGTGTGCGTCAATAAGCGTGCGAATGAGAATGTTTTATATATTAACAAAGCAAAAGCATGCATAGTTGTATTTTATATTGAGTTTGTCAAAGCACTACTCCCATCTTATCATGTATATTAAAAGTTAATTTTATGTGATGAGAATATAGTGTTATCTGTAGTTCAGTGTGCCATGAGATCTGTGTGTTCTCCTATTATAATTTTACACCATATATAATTTCAGAAACTAACATCTTCCATTATCAGGTAAATTTAACGTTTGACTTTAAAAATTTGGGGTAACGAGGTGAGATTGTCTTTATGCCTAAAGAGTGAACGCAATATCACGGACCAAGTTTACCTTCTTAATCCTAAAAACCAAACACAATAAAGATCAACTCACAAGTCACAATTTAATCTTATAAATTTTCTCTTATAATCATAATGTAATAGCTCATAACTGGGTAGACGTGACCCATTTACAAATTAACCAATTGCGAGTTACTACGTTGAGATTGTGAAAGAAAATTTGTGAGATTAGATTGTAATTGTATTATTGTCCCCTAATAATAACACATCAATTTTTAAATTTAAGGGTTTAAACTAAAAAGTGGTAATTAATGAAAAAAAAAAAAGTTTTGGGTTCTATGTGATATTTAATCCTTTTAAGTCCTATAAAGATATTGGAAATTTGTATAATAGGTGGATATGTATAATGAGAGAGTAGTATACAATAAAACTACACTTACAACCTTCTCATATAACTTTTTTTATACAATTTTGAGGTGATAGCTCACGATTGGTCAGATTGTATTTGGATATATGTCACTCACTGCGAACTAACCAATCGCGGGCTGCCACATGAGTTGTATAAAAAAATTATAAGTGTAATATTGTTCACTTGTATAAGGCTAATGATATAACACACTAATGATTTTAGATGATTTATGTTTGGATGAAAGAAATAGATAAACAAAAAATAATATATAAATAAAACAAATATAAATATATTGTTTTATTGTATATATATATATATAGTTTTTTCATGTAATGTAAGTATTTTTAGGTAAACTTTATTCTCCCTTAAAATTAAGACATAATCACATCAATAAGATCTTGATACGGAATATTTATAAAGTATATTAATATATTAATTACACAAGTATTAATTTTATTATAATTAGGTCAACAGAATCAGGGTCGCCATGTGCGTCACAAGTCCTTCTTTTGCGCTTTTTTCTTGTAGAGCCTGCGTGTCCTTTTCCAGTTGTCTGTGCGTTTTGTTGAACCTGTGTGCTTTTGCTTCCGAGCCTGCATGCTCTATTCCAGGTGTCTCTGTCTTTTTGTGGAACCTGCGTGCGCTCTTGTTGGGGCGTATGTCCCCTAGTTGTTTGCGCTTTGAGCATTGTGCCCGTAGGGCCCTTCATGTTACGTTCTAACTTGGTTTTTTTTGGGAGAAGGACTTTTAGTCTTTTGCATACCCAAGGTTTACCGAAATGATAAGTTTGTATCCAAAAAATTTTAAAACAATAAATAAGTACCTTCATCATGTTCTATTAGTAATTTTCGTTTGATAATAATGAAAAGACTAAAACACCTTTGAAAGTTTAATATTTTAGCTTTTTATAAATTTAAAAATTTCTAAAAAACCCCCTAAGTTTGCTAATTTGACTAAATACCCTAATATATAAAATTTTTATAAAATAACAAAAACACCCCCACCACCAGCTGTGCCAGATTCCAGCCACCACCTCCGGAATTTAGCTAAAAAATTGTGTTACGACATAGACCCGTCGGATCTGTGTCGTAACGCGTCGATTTGGCCAGAAAAGGCCAGATCTATGTCTAGCCTTTTTCGGCCTCGACAGGTAGATCTGGCCGGAAAATGCCAGATCAATGTGTTACGACACAGATCCGATGGGTCTATGTCGTAACATAATTTTCTAGCAAGATTTCGGCCTCGACGGCCAGATCTGGCCTTTTTCGGCCAGATCAGCCTCGGATCTTGCCTGAAAATGTCAGATCTACACGTTACGACACAGATCTGATGGGTCTGTGTCGTAACGCAATTTTCTGGCCAGATTCGGACGGTGGTGGCTGGAATCTGGCACTACAGGTGGCGGGGGTGTTTTTGTTATTTTATAAAAATTTTATATATTGGGGTATTTAGTCAAATTAGCAAACCTAGGGGGTTTTTTAGAAATTTTTAAATTTATAAAAAAGTAAAATATTAAACTTTGAAATACATTTTAGTCTTTTCACTATTATCAAACGAAAATCACTAACAGAACATGACGGAAGGTACCTATTTGTCATTTCAAAACCTTTTGGATACCAATCTGTCGTTTCGACAAACCTTGGGTATGCGTAAGTCGTTTGGCCTTTTTTTTTTTAAATATAAAACTTAACTTTTCCCCAAATAAAAAAAAAAAGTTCCTTTTAGTCGATATATCTCTCACTCTTGGACTCTGATGCTTGCTAACACAAGGATGTGGGTGTTGGAGTTGTCTACTACTTCAATATTAATGGGTTACGCAGATACATTCAGGGTTTTTGTTGTAGGATTTCTTTAAGTCATTAATTTTTTATTGAGTTTAGGCTTAAAATAAGAATCCTTATAAAATTAAGTTTTATCACTTTAAACATATATATATTTTCTTGTTATGAATGTGATAATAATCATAAGACAATTTATTCATTATAAACGAAAGAGGAGATGAAGTATTACAATAATATTGATTCAGCTTGATGTAACTTATATTGGATGAATTAGGATAAATTACACATATTACTTTTTCTTTGTTTACTGTCTGTTATTTGTTATATTGTTATTTTATTCTCGTTGCCGTCTCCATTTCATTCGGTGGGCTTCCAAATTCCAACCATTTGGCAAGCAAGGTTTTAGTGGCTTTCAAAATCTGACAAACATTATGGCTAGTTGAGGCATATTGTTTTTGACATATCAAGAATTAAACCGTTAAATTATATGTGTCTTAAAAGCTATTTTATATATGTATTGAGAATGTGTACAAGCATGAGGTTAATTATAATACATCCACCAAAATGAGTATGTGTACATTAATGTGTCTTTACATTATTGATTATATAATTGATTACCATCGTCTATTTTTAGATTTTATGCGATTCAAAAAGTATATATCAAATTTGATACAAACTCTCATTTATTAGTGAAATACGTAAATATATGAGATTTTACTTAACTTCTCCTCTTTCTACAAGACGTTTACCTAGCTAACATTCCGATATGTCCGTATTCAAACTTTTCTGGTCCACCCCAATATACTTCTCACTTATCCTACCACTGTTGAATAGTAATTCAATGTGGCCAAGTTCCCCTTTTTGACAATTGGTTTCGCTACTCAAGTTCACTTTTCACCCTTTCTTAGTGTGATTTATATGTTATGTATAGCCGTACCTAAGGGTTTATAGGTTTGAAGTAGATTCGTTTTTTAATCTATATTTAATATCAATATTATTGTTAAGTTACAAAAACAATCAGTCTAGCTAGTTTAATCAATAAACCTTGGACCTAAACATGCAATGCAAACAAAACCACGCGAGGAAAGTAGAGTTTAAGGTCAAGATGGGGCTCCCAGTGAAGTCACCAGTGAGGCGAGCAAGTTTTCTAAGTTATATTTGTTTAAATGAGAAATTATTAATACATTTTGTAATTGATTTAATAACTCTCATCTATCCAAACTCCTTTGCGACCATCTTTTGAATTACCTTTTGAATGACATGAACATGCAAGGATAAAAATGGATTCATAATCGATATCAAAATAGGAGCTTTACTTCCGTAGGATAAGAATAATAAAACTTTTGAAATACGTATAGAAAAACTTGAGATTGAAATCAGGATGTTTTTTAGCATATTTCGTGTGAATTGATCAATATGTAAGCTATCAACTATCTTTGAGTGGTTGAGTGATTCGATAGGAACTATTGGGTGTATTACAAGAGGTTTTGAGCTCGAATCCTTCTTTGCTTACTAATAGCTAGGGGTGGCAACTGAATTTCTTACGCAGTTGGTAGTTCCAAACATTATTTTAAAACTTGACCTATTGTGAGACTCGATAAGGTGACCAAGTCATGGGACGACTAATGACATCAGCAATAAATTTTTTTGAAATTGTAAATTAGTTCCTTAAATCTTAGAATATTAAAAAATTAAAAAAATTTAAATTAGTCCCTAAATTTTTTATTATTTAAAATGTCCAAAAAATTACAAATTAATACCTAATGCTTTGACATATTTCAAAAACACCCCTAGAAAATACAAGGGAGTCCTCATAAATTTGAAATGTAGCAAAACCCCCTAAAAACTAAATCGGACCAGAAAGGGTGTCAGGTCCCGATTGGACTAGTCTAAGTCTTAAAATAGTGGTTCTAGGTTAAAGATGTCAATGGGATGGGTCGGGTCGGGCCGGGACCGGGTACCCCTTGGCCCAAGCCTAGGCCCGACCTCAAGACCCTGGCCCAAGCCCGGGCTCGGTTCGAGCCCGTTGCAAGGATGTCTAGTAATGTCCAGGCCTAACTTGACTAGCTTCTTGTGACTCCCAGTCTCGACCCATGTTAATTTCTATAATTTATTTTCTCATGGGCAATCTTTGATATATTTTTCTTCGTCATTCATATTAACTTAATGAATATTATCTTTTGCTTTAATCACTATATTTTTTGTGTGTATAGATTAATACGGTGGACAAGGGATCTTGAATTTGATTAAAAGCGATTGATTATAAATCATAATCAAATAAAATAAAATTTTAATTTTTTTAAATGATAAAAACTTGGGCTGGCCTAGGCTGGACCTGGGGATGGTTGTCCTAGGCTAGGCTCGTACCTACGGTTGAGCCCTAAAACCATGCCCAGGCTTGTGCCCATCCTTGCAAACAGT